ACGCTATCATCTATGTGGCCCCGCTTCAGGAGCCTTCTATGTTTCCCCTCGCCTCTCTACCTCTGCCCTATGCTCCCCTGTCCTCATCGGCTCTCGGCCCTTCCCTCGTCCATTGTATCCGTGTTGCGGGCTCGCTCACTCTGTACCCTCGCAGAACTTCTCGATAGCCAGAGGGAGAACCCTATCTGACTTTTCCTCTGGCCCTGCCCTCTTCCGCTCTCTTCTTCTTCCGGGCCCATCGCGTGTGTACGTCTGATCGTCTCTGTCCGTGAGGTGCACGTCTCGAGAGCATGAGCTCACAGCCTCTCCTCTCGCTCTCACGCTTCAGTCAGTCCTCGTCAGGCCGATATACTCCGGCCGTGAGAGATGAGTGAGTGAGGTGCCGTTGAGTGAAGTGTAGTGAGTGAGAGAGAGAGAGAGAATATGGCCGTGAGAGTGAGTGAGTGCACTGTTTGTCGTCGCTGAGTTGCTTCTCAGAGAGAGAGTACACTAGGGGTCGGGCGTCCCCGTCCCGCCTTATGCAGTTACGTTGACGGGGTTGTAGTGAAGCATGCCGTGACGTTGCACGCTCGTATCTCGAGCGGGGCCATCCGAGAGACATATGGCTCTGTGACCGCCTCAGTCTCTTCGCAGTCGAGGTCTCACGACGCTGTGCATGTAGTGAGTGAGCCCCATGACCAGCAGCAACGACGCCTCACAACACAAGACGGTTCCTCGGGAGCCACGCCTCTTCGCGACAAGCCTCCTCCACTGGGCGCATAGACTAGTATCGACGATACGAAACAGGAGAGGTTTGGCTGAAGAGATCGAGGTAGCTGGTTTTTGTACTTGTGGGGTGTGATATGTGGGAGTGGGCAGAGAAGTGAAGAGGCTGGAGTGTATAAATGGGAATGCCGTATGTAAGTTGCCGCCTCCGGCGGGTGTGGGAGTCGGAAAATTTTGCTCGCTCCTGACCTTCAGCAGACTGGTCGATGTGATCGTTTGACCTGTGATCATCACTGGGCCGGTGAGTGAGTGGAAGAAAAGAGGGTCGTTCGATATCGCCTGGGCAATCGTGCAAGACAAGCGCGCTTAAGGGCGCTAAAGCCGGAGAGACCAATAGCAAGAGGCATCGACAAGCATGCATTACTGGCCCGGCTTCGCTTCCACGTTTTTCAAAGGGGAAATCATGTGAGGGGCTCACGATGTGCGAGTTAGCTAGGGAGTCAGAGTGGCCTTATCGTCTTAGGGTAAGTATGCTATCGCGGTTGAGTGACAGGACGGCGACGTACGAAGTCTCAGGGCCAAGGGGGAGATTGGTATTCACACTACGCCGGTGTATCACGTTATTAGAGGTTCTTAATGTGGTTTCACCCATGACTCCGCGTCCATACAAGTATAGTTACGAAAGAACAAATTTGGGGCATGTGACACACTTATTCTGCGCTATCAAGAAGAAGGATGATGGGAAACAAGACATTTCAGAATGCGGTTTTGCGTACGAATGCACCAAGGTCACTTCATGCACACGTGATGAGACAAATTCATCAAGATATCTTGTATATTCAGCTAAAAAAAAATAAAAAAAAAAAAAAAAAAAAAAATGAATTTGTCATTGTCGTCCATAATCTCGATTTCAAACTGAATAGTCAAGCGTATGGGTTAGCTTACATACGCCATCTACTGACGCGGGACCAGCACGGTGTTCATAAACAGTCAGAGACTCGCCGGACAACAGAGGGGAAAACGCATGCACGCAATTTCCTTCGGCTATTTATTGGGCTCGCTTAATTCGAAAAGCACAGGTAGAGAACACACGATGGTTGGCGATACCACATATAAGTAAATACATACATACTACAACATGATTATTATTAATAATAATGCGCTACCCTATATATATATAGTTATATCACTATAATTATATATATATATATGTGTGTGTGTGTGTGTGTGTGTGGTGTGATGATGGTGTATCGGTGTTGGTTATATGTGAATATGTGAATGTTAATTAGTTATGATATCAGTTGCTAGTGAGTTTTGAGTTTCGAAGTAAATAAAGAGATATAGTAAGAATATCTAATAGTACTATATTTACTATAATTGAAATCAAGGGACACTATTCGAGTGTTTGGTGTAGTGTACTGCCTAGGGGGCCCGTGAGATGCCTACAACAGTCATTTTTAATGTTGGAGATGAGGGCGTAAGGCAGACAACCCAGTGCCCTCCCCACCCACCTCTTGGCTCCGTGTCGTGATGAGAGTCTATATATCATTATTAAACATTAGCAGTCGATTGTTATAATCACAACACACTAAGCTCTCAGCGGATAGAGGAAAGACAACACAATATTCGGTATGTTCCTGATCGGAACAACACAGGAGTCATGTGATCCAAACGGGGCAACAAGCAAATGGACATGAGCGGCATGTAAATAATATTTATGTGCGAGAATATTATGATATACACAATAGCATATATATCAGTACTATGAAGAGATATCTTAGTTATATTGTCCTATAACCATATTTACTACATACTCTGTATATATAGTATTATATATATATATAATATGATATATTATTATATATATATATATTATTTTATTTTATATAGTATATATAAGTAAGTCATA